CAATGTGTGGTGCCGACTCTAGGCACACACAGAATACGAGGGCTATGGGGTCAGCAAGGCCTCCACCCAAATGTGAAAAACAGCCTGGGAGGCCAGGCAGGGTTTCCCTGAGAGGCCAGTGCGTAAAGCTGTGAGGACAAAGCCACAGGTACAGCAGAGATCCTAAAAGCCTAAAAAGACCAAAAGCAGACCGTCGGAAAAAACCTACAAAGGGAAAAAGCCGGCCCAAGAGCAAAGTCATGAGAGCCACAATCACCTAAAGCCTACAGGGGCGAGCTCAAACCATTGTCAAGAGTTTACCTCTTACCACAGATTGCCTGAGAGAGATATAAAACTGTGAGATTTAATGTTTGCCCTGCTAAACTTCAGGCCTGCTTTGGTCCCATTCCTTTCTCTTCCCGCATTTATCTTTCAAAATAAAAATGCCTATCTTGTGCTATTGAATGTTAGAAGTGTTTAACTTTCTTTTCACTTTTACAGGGGCCTTAAATCTCAGAACAGATCTTTAGCCTAGACTTTTCAACAATGCTAAAATTGTTAAAGACTTTGGCAACTCTTAGACTTACTGCTTTTTATATAAAGAAATGGGTATGAGTCTTTGGGGACCAGGGGCAGAAGGCTGTGGTTTATGTCTAGATGTCCCCCCAAGCCTCATGCAGTCATAGATGGGGATTTTTCCAAGGTGGCTGGATCTAGACTATATAACTTTAAAATGGATTCATGAGGGCCAGAGAGATAGCTCAGTGGAGTAAGAGCCTGCTTAAGGCAAGTGCAGGGACCAGGGTTCGATCCCTAGAACCATAGGCCATGCCAGCCCTGCCCCTGGGCACACTGAGCCGGCGACTGGGAGTGGTGGTGCATGCCTGTAATCCCAGAGATGGGGGAGGCTGAAAACAGGAGGATCAATTTCAGTGTGAGCTGTGTAGAGACCCTGTGCCAAATACATTAAAAAAAAAAAACCCTAAAACCAAAGAAATAAAAAACTGATTCATGATACAATACTAGGCTCAAAGGGCACTAGGATTAAGGGTGTGAGTGCTACCCACCCTAAATAGCTTACATAAATTCTAAGAGATAAAAAGAGTTGTGGTTTTCCCTTATTGTTTTACTACCTTCTGCTCACCATAAACTGTTTCTTCTCAGATGCCACCCCGCGTAAGCATCCACCGACTATAGACTCCAAACCCTATCAACTAAGCACACTTTTCCCCCTTTGACTTGTGGTGCCAGATGGTTTGTCTCAACAATGAGAAAAGTAGTAAGGCATTAGTACACAATTTGCAGTGCAGACTCATTCAAAACAAAAACGCTTTATAGCATTTTACCTGGAAGGTTGTTCTTTTGGTAACTTTCGGACTTTTCGTATATGCCAAAGTTGTGCTGAAAACTTCATCAGCCATAGTCTGCTTTTTCTTCCACCTCTATTAAATAGTTATCAAATGGTTGGAGTAGTTCATTTAACCTGTGATGGTGACTGAAACAGAGAAAAAAACATATCGTCGGTCTTCTTCTGCATGGTTGAAAATTTCTATTAGCACAGTGAAAGCCAAAAGGGGAAAAAAAGGAAACAAACATTTCTCCTGCACACTGACCTGTATCTGCCCTTAAAGATGTAAATACAGTTCTTGTAAAGCTCAAGACATAAAAAATGCAAATGCGGCTGGACGTTATCCTAAAATACGTTTGCCACTAATTTAAGGATAAGCAAATAAATTAACAGTAAGTGAACACGACAAAATGCCGCCAATAAATACAGGACATCTTATTTTTCACCCGTTTTCTCCCCGAACAGAACAGCTTTTCCGCACTGGAAAGGCCACCGAGACGGCCGCAGGGAACGGCTCCGCGAGCCGCACACCCCACCCGCGGGGCTCGGCCGGGAGCGCGGCGGGGCGCTGCGCCCCAAGGACCGCGCGACGCCCCGCGCCCCTCCGCTCACAAACCTGTTAACCAGGCCGGGTGCGGGAGCTTCCGGACGGACGGGCTGGCCGAGCTCGCCTGCCCCGCGGAGGCAGGGCTGCCGGCGGCGGCGTCCTCCGTCCTCGCGGCTCACGGCTCCGCACCCACCCGGCCTCCGCCGCCCGGACGCCCGGACTCCGAGGGCGCGGGGTCTCAGGCCCGGCCGGTCGCGCTCCGGCTCCCACACGCACCCGGCCGGGAGGCGGGACCAAAGGCGGAGGTGGGAGGCGGTTGCTAGGCAACAGCGTCCCGGGAGGAAGTGACTTCCGCACTGTCTCGCCTCTTGGGTACCCAAATCTACCCTCCGGCGAACGCGTCACCACGACAACCGCCAGACGGAGGAAGTGACGTTGCCCTCCAGGCCGCCTTACGCTGCAGGCGTTGCCTAGGCGACAAGGCCCGCCCAGGGCCCGCAGGCGGAGGCCGCCGCAGCCCTGGATGCGGAGGAGGCCTTTCTGGCGGGCGCCGCGGGAGGCTGCGCCGAGCCGGACGGTGGGCGGGAGCCGGGACTCGGGCCCGCGGAGCTTCAGGGGAGGGGCGGGTTACGGGCCCGCGGCGGCTTCCGGTCCCCGCGCCCGGGCCGTCGGAGCGCGCCTCCTGTCTCCGGACTGAGGAGACCCCAGGACCGGGAAGCCCGGCCGGGGGATGCGGGGGCGCGCCGCCTCCTGCGTGCAGTCCGTCTCGCGGAGGCGCGCGCTGCGGGGTGCAGTAGCTCGGAAGGGTGCGGGCGCGTCTGCAGGCCGTCAGTCGGTCAGTCAGTCAGCCAGCAGAGCGGCCAGGGCTGCGTGCTGCCTAGAGGAGCCCTTCCCTGCGTGGACCCGGGCGCTACTGCAAAACCCCAGGCTTCAGGTGGTCTCGCTCGCTTTTTTTTTTTTTTTTTTCCGGAACCAGGGATTGAACTCAGGTCTTTGCACTTGCCAGGGAAGCGCTTATTCCACTGAGCCATCTCCTGGCCCCTTAAAGTGTTTTTTAAAAACATGAATTCCAAGTGATTTTAATTTAAAAAACACGTGTTCCTATTGAACTGCCTAAATCACTGACTGTTCACTGAGCCTAGGTTGGTTCCGCTCTTTTACCTAGTCAAAGTAATTTATGAACGAGTCACGCTGAAAGGTAGATTTAGTAAATTGGCATGTTGTAAAATTAAATGTGTGTTTAATTTGTTAAGTTTTAAATGTTAAAATTGGGGCCAGGGAGTTAGCTCAGTAGAATAAGCACTTCCCTGGCAAGCACAAGGGCCTGAGTGCAAGCCCTGGTTCGGCAAAAGAAAAAAAAAAAAAACCCAAAAAACAAAAAAAAAAAACCATGCTGTTTATTTTTTTCTTACCATTTGACTTTGATTTATGACTTTCATTTAGATATGATTTGAGGAAATAAGACCTGAATACAAAGAGCCCTGGACAAAAGGTTCTGTTTTCTGCAGAACACAGTTGTCAACTTAATTATCTTCAATAATTGAAAAATGATAACAAATAGACATTATAAAGCTGTGCCATACAAAGTTATGGTAAATAAAACACTTAATTTCTCCAGGACACAAAAAACTGCGTTTTCCTCTATTTTCTTGTTTTTAAATTACAGAATTTTAAATGTTACATTAGTGTTCTAAGAAGCTTCAATATAAATTAGAAGTTATATATATACATAAACTAATGATATTTTATGTAATGTTCAATGTGCAGTGCATCTATAATTAAGTGAACTTGAATAAAATCAATAGCATTTTAATTTGAAAAATGGTTTTTAAAACATTTAAAGAAGTTCAGATAACTCATGTTTTAAAAATGACAACATTGGAAGGCACAGAACCTCAGAAGCTTTTGCAGCGTTTTCTCCCGCTTCTGTACCTCCTTCAGTGCCCCTTGGTTGCCGAGCCGTGCCTTCACCACGCATTCATTTAGTACACTCAGAAACGACGCATTCTGGGTCGGACGTTGAGAGTGCAAAGGGGAAACCTTGGTCTCCACCTGGAGCTGGTACAGGCTGCGGGTGGCTGGGAGCCGGGCCAGCGTGAGTCAAGGTGCTACCCACGCGATGTGTCCTTGGGCCCTGCAGAGCAACACTCAAGACCAGGCAAAACTCTGTCCCTGGAGACAGCAGAAGGCTTTCACAAAGAAAGTCAGTTTGATTAAGGAACTTAAGAAGAAAGGGTCAGAACTATAGAGGCTCTATAGTTTGTTGTTGTTTATTTTTATTCTTATGCGTTAAACACAGGAGCTTTTAAGCAGTGAAAATGGTCTGCGAATACAGATCCTACTCCATAACAGCCCAGGGTCTGGGCACTGGTGCCAGGGCAAGCCAGTAGTTGTTGCCTACAGAGCAAGCGAAGGGAGTGAGAAGACCCAGTTCCAGGTCAAGAAGTGTCTAGACTTCTCTCCCGCGGTTTCCCGCTCTCCCTTAACAGTCCAGTTGTTTGTAGTCCTGTGGTTGGCAGCACATGCATAAAAGTTAGAAAGAGACAAAAGATTGTGTGCTCGTAGCTAGCTCCGGTTGAATCAGTGAAGCACCTAAGTAGCATTTTGAGAAGCACATTACAAAAAGCAAATCCCAATAGCTGCCAAATAATAGTATTTATAGTAAGCATTGAATGCCCATGAGAAAATAAGATTCTAGACACAAGTACAGTGACTGCTGCTGACTTGCAAGACTTCTATACAGGAGAGATTTATAATAGGAAAGTATCAAGATCTCAAGAAAATTTCGTTAAAGTGTAGTTTCATACAAGCAAAGGGAGCATGCATCATTACTCTGAAAGAAAATGGGGCAAGTTGTCACAACAAAATGGATGCAATCCCTAACCTTTTCATTTTACTTATTTATTTATTTTTATAGTTCAAGCCTGGAAGTTATAAAAGAAGAGTTCTTACACATGATTGCCTGAGAGAAACTCAAGAAAGACTACTAGAACCTCTGGCTTGTCCGGAGGCCACCACAGACTCATTAAGTGTTTCCTCAAGGACTTCTGTCCGGCAACTGGCTGTTGGACACTGAATCGTCAATTTTTGTTATTGCTCATTATGACCCATATTGCTCAAAGGATCATCGTTTCAAACTCTCCGGTGTAATCATTTTTGTCTTTGCCTCAATCACCTTAGATAAACCCATAGTATAGTACAACATGTATATTACCAGTGTAATGTTTGGCTATTCCCAATCAAATACTGTTATTCTTTTGACAATCTCAGATTTTTTTTTAAAAAAAACTTAAACTGAAAAATCAAATATAATTGTGTGACTTCTTTGGTCAACATGGAGAGAAAGCAAATTATTACATGGGAAGAGAAACGTGATTACTCATACTAAATCAGAACTTGAGATTTTGAACAAATCAGTTTTATTAATGCATTCAGAAGCCCTTCAAGATATTGCTTCAGTTAGATAAACAATTTGGACGGGGACTACCTCTACTACATGTATATTGTTGACTGCACTGGTTTGGTATAATTTTTAAACTAATTTAGTTTCTATAAAACCTCTTGAAACTTGTACTTTCTATAACCACATTTAACAGGTAAGAAAATAAAGTTTCAGAAAAAATAATTTCTTCAAGATATGCTAGGTGTTAGTTCATAAAATGTGGATTCAGACCCAGATCCGCTGACCTAAAGCCGGTGCTGTTGTCTAACCCCTGCCGTGGGCGCCCTGGAAAGCTGAACCCTGACCTCCACAGCCTGCTGTGTGCTCCTCACAGCAGGGGCCTCCCGCTAGGCTGCACTGTGGCAAAGCGAGCTGCAGCAAGCCAGCAAAGCTTCGGCTGAGCTTACAGCCCTTGCAGTACTCGTCCTATGGCCTGAGCTCCACCTCATGTCTGATCAACAGGCCCTGCAGTTCTCATAGGAGCCAAACCCTGCTGGGAACTGCAAATGGGAGGGATGCAGGTGGCATGTTCCTTCTTGTCATCCTGAAACCACCCCTTCCTCCATGTCCATGAAAACATCATCTTTCCCAAAACTAGTCCCTGCTACTGAACAGGTTGAGGACTGCTGCTCTCCTGTCCAAACGGATGTGGCAGATAAGATGAAGGATCTCAAGCTGCGGGGTGATAATCCTGGGTTATCTGGACGGGCCTGCAGGATCACGGCCTTCCTTACAAGAGGTCTCAGAACAGAAAGAGACAAGGAAACGGGAGAAGAGTGGGGCAGAGGCAGGAGTGACGCAAGGCTGTGTCTAGGGAGTGAGGTCAGCCGCTCAGAAGCTGGAAAAAACTAGAAAGAGCTTCTTAGAGATCAACCTTAGATGTACAGCCCTTTCCTCGCCGTAGACTCCTGGTCTCCTAACCTATAAGAGAATAAATGGGTGTTGTAAGCCATTTTGTGGTGATCTATTAGTGTCTGTAGGAGGAGATTAATGCTGTCCTACACTATATAGTTACATGTATTTGGCTTTTTTTCAGATATGATGTTGGAGCTTGGAGTCTTATTTCTGTGAATGTCTGCAATATATGGCAAGGAAGACAGGATAATTTGGGCCTGTGCCTTTAACATTTTAGTCTACAGGGAAAATGGAAAAAACTAGAAAATGGCCTGACTGGGTCATCCTAAGTAATGCAAATTCAGTGGGTGGGAGATGAAGTAGAGCAGAAGAGGAGGAAGGTATAAGAAAGATGTCACCCCAGAAATCGTGGCATTTGCTTAGGAGAGAAGTGACGCGGTCATGATGTCAAGTGATGACTGAAGAGATCCATCGAAAGACTAGAGTCGATAGGATTGAAACTGTGGCCGAGGTGTGTGCGCTGGGGAAGGGGAGAGGGAGGAGGGGCAGCGCCGTGCTGGCTTTGCTCTAGGTAACTTTGAGGTAGTTTGGACAGGTGGGGTTGCACAGGAGGCTGAGGAAGGTGAATCCAGAAGGAGGCAGCTTGGGAATATCCCTCGGGGTGTGGGCAGGAGTGGTAGGTGGTAGCGGAGACTGCCAAACTGTAGCACTGTAAGTCAGGGCCTTCCCCATCCTCTCACCTCTCACGCGAGAGTTAAGTATTCACCAGCCCTCAGCCGGGTGGGAAGCAAGCTGAAGTGTGATTGCTTCAAGCTCACATGTGAATGGAGCTTGAGCTGGAGTGGGAGAGACCAGGATGGGTTCCAGAGGGCAGTGATGGAAGGAAAGAGCGAGGCTTGGGAGCAGTGAGATGCAGGCGGGTCGGAAAAATGCACTGCTGCTGGGAGAGTCTCCAACAGACATGGGGCAGCC